AAATATATATATATATATATATATAATATATATATATATATATATATATATATATATATTTATATATATATATAGTAATATATATTATATATATATATATATATATAGTATATATAATATATATATATATATATATATATATAAATATATATATATATATTATATATATATATATATATATATATATATATATATATATATATATATACTAATATATATATATATATATACATATATATATATATATATATATATATATATATATATATATACATATATATATATATATATATACTATATATATATATATATACATATATATATATATATATATATATATATATATATATATATATATATATATATATATATATATATATATATATATATATATATTTATATATATATATATATATATATATATATATATATATATATATATATATATATATATATATATATATATATATATATATATATATATATATATATATATATATATATATATATATACTTGACATGGATTTTAAATAATGTAACTATGTTGAATAATGATATAGTGTCTAAGTGTATTAATATATTATATGTAGTAATATATTATATATTACTATATATATATATATGTGTAATAGAAATTATTATTAGACATACTTGGCATCAAGTCTTTGAAAGCAGTATACAGGGCTTGAAATTGGTTGGCTTGAATAGGGTCACCCAAGGACGACTTTTATACTACGATTGGAAAGCAAGAATTCAATACTCTTAAAGATGTTTCCAGATACACCGTAAGAAGAAAGCTTATGTAGAAGACCAGCATGCCAAACTTTATCAAACACTTTAGAAATGTCATGGCTTTAACCTCTCCAACTTTATCTAATGCGCAATAAAACCTATCGGTTATTACTGTTAGCAAATCAGCCGTAGAACAAGAAGATCAAATTCCATATTGATGATCAAAAAGTAAGTTATTAGATTCAAGATGAGAGATTTTGTGTTTATTAATTAAAGATTCAAAAACCTTGGTTATGATAGGAAGAAGAGTAATGGGGTGGTAGTTAGACAAATCAGATCACACTTCAGAATTTTTTAAAATAGGAATAACATATGCAGCTTTCCAGCAGGCTGGAAAACAAGACTCTGATAAGCACTTGTTGAATAGTTTTGAAAGGAGAGACGACAGCTCCGGAGAACACTTCTGCAAGACTATAACAGGTATGTTGTCTGGGCTGCAAGCTGAAGAAGAGTCTAAGCAGGAAATCACTTTGGATACATAAGCTGGAGTGACACTAATGTCAAGTAATGGATCAACCTGTTTGATTACTAAATCAGGTAGAACTCAACTAGTGGAATCAAGAGATGATATTGATGAAAAGTTCTTAGCAAATAATTTGCATTGTCTTTAGGTGAGGTGTCAAAGTCTGAACCATACAAAAAAGGTGGAATTACAGACTTGCCCTTATTATTGATACTATTAAAGATTTTCCAGAAGTCACGAGAGCCTAATTTTTGTGATGAAATACAAGATTTCATGACCTGAGAATAGCGGGCTTAGGCATTAGACAAAACCTTTTTAAAATGGTTCCTAGCAGTAATAAACAGACGTCTGTTTTCTGGAGAATTTTTTTGCTGATAGATATGGAAGTAATAGTTTCGATTGGCAATTTCAGCAGCACAATGTGAGGAAAACCATGGAGAAGATTGAGGCTTGACCTGGAATCGTCATAAGGGAATAAAGGATTCCATGCCAGACTGAATCCATGAAGTTATGTAAGAACCACATTTGTCAACAGGAAGACGAAAGATTTCTACGCAAGGGCCATCACAAAAAAAATCACACAAACAGTCCCAGTTAGCTTTAAGATAGTTGTAAGATGTAAGATGATAGAGGGATTCTGATGATAAAGAAGAATGAGATAACAGTTTTAGAGAAATCAAACTGTGATCAGAGGCACCTAAGGGTGAATGTGGAGAAACTGAGCACTGACTAGGATCAAAAACAAGACATAAGTCGAGTAGAAAAGGTAAATGATTCGGGTTGTCTGAAAAGGTTAGGGATTGAGAAAGGCAAAGGTTGTGGCCTTTAATGCCTGCAGTATTTGAATTCTAATGTTTTGAATTTTTTTTGATGTTTTTTAATTTTAAATGTAATAATTATTAAATAATAGAATATGATAGAACCAGCATGAAATCAAAGCAATTAATGAAGTTTTAGTTTAATATTATTATTATAAAATAAAATATCTAACATTCAAAGTTTGGAATTTTTATTGAAGTGTTGCAAATTTGGATATTCTATTATATAGAATTTTATGCAATTCAAATTAAAAGTCCTAGTTAAGTGAAGTTTTTTTTCATTTGGGCCCAAAAAAAATTAGCGAATGGTTTGACTTAACAAGGGTATGATTAAGGTATAATATAATAAAGTTCAATGGAAATTAAAAAAAAAAACATCATGCTAAATTTAACTTCAATAGAGAAGAAATTCAATAGAGAAGAAATT